AGAAAGCTAATGCAATTTCAAAAACACAGAAACTGGGAAAGTAGAGATGAGCTGGTCTTTATTTACTTTTTTATTTTTTTTTATCCTCACCCAAGGACATTTTCCCATTTTTTGTTCAGATAGAGTGGGGGTGGGAGGAGAGAGAGCGAGAAACATCAACATAAAAGCAACACATCGAGTGGCTGCCTCCCACACACACAACCCAACCAGAGCCAGGGACAAACTGCAACCAAGGTCCGTGCCCTTAGCAGAAACCAAATCTGGGTCTCTCTGGACAGCAGACCATACTCTAACCACTGAGACAAACTGGCAAGGGCAAGACAAGCTGATTTTTAAAAGGGAGGAGCAAAGTATCATCTTTCTTCTTTAAGTTGATGACATTCATTTTTCAGACTTTTATAGTTTTACTTTAGTTTAGAAGAAGGAAAAAGTGAAGATATTAAAATGGTGAATGGACAGAGCAGAGCTTCCCATTAAAATAAATACACATTGTTTTATTGTTTGGAAAACCCTAACAAGCTCCAGATCAATAACTGAATTTCATCATTTTTTTGAAAGAAGAAATTTCCAGAGGTTAAATTGTCATCTACTTCGTTAAGCTTGGAACCAGAAACTTAAAAGAATTTATGCTCAAAACACTTAGACAAACTGCACATCTTGGGCCTCCTGTGCAGTATGTTCATGCTGCCTTTTTGTTTGAAATTTGAGGCTATTGACATTAACCAAAATGGGACTGTTGCCTCAGTCTGCATGGAAATCACCTTGCTAACTTGGCTGAGGATGTCAGCATAGTTGGTGTTCATCTTGTACATGTATTTGAGGATGAGAAGCCTGATACCTAATTGGCACTAGCATCCATGCATTGCTCAAGATTAAACCTTAAATTCATCTTTGATGACTTTTTCTCACACTCTACTTATAATTGACAAATTCTATCAGCTCTACCTTCAAAATACAATTCAATCCAACCCATTCTCTATAGCTTCACCACTTCCACCACTTCCAGTTTGTGCATCTTCCATTTAGACTACTGAATGAGACTTCTTCCTGCTTCTGCAAAATATTCTGCCCAGAGTGGTCAAAGGGATTCTTTTAAACTCCAAATCATTGTTACTCCACAGCTCAAACCCTCCAATGGCTACCTACCTCACTTGGCACAAAATCCAGTCATAACCACAGCCTGCAAGGCTCTAGTAGACCTGAGCCCCACTGATCTCTCAGACCTCAATTCTTATTTTAACTCCTTTGTATTTATGACCACCAAAATGCTGCCCAGATAACACAGTACCAGTCCTTGCTCCATTCTTTCGCCTTCTCTCATAGACATTATGGTTTACCTTCTCAACTCTCCTTGGAGCTCCAAAAGTCCTCCCTCATCCCACTCCCAGCTGTTCACCTTGCTTCCCGTTTTACTGAGAAACAGTAAAAATTAGCAGAATTCCACATGCTCCCACCTCCATATTTACCCACTATGATCACGCATGCCCATTTATTCTGCTCTCCCCACTGGAGGCACTAGCCAGGCTTCTACTTAAGGCCAACTTATCTACTCGTGCACGAGATCCCCTCCCTCTCACCTACATCAATTCCCTCCTCTCTTTGTTATATCATCAGTTGTTCCCTCTCTCCTGGGTTAGTCTCATCAGCCTACAAACATACTATAATTTCTCTCTTCTTAAAATAAAGTAAAATAAAAAACTGTCTCAACTCTGCTTTCTATATCTACCACTCCTTTGCAGCTAAATTATTCTAAGGAGATATTTACACTTCCTCTCCTACCACTCATTCTTGACCCCACTGCAACTACTCAATGCGAATCTAAATCCAATGGTCAGTTCTCAAATTGTATTTTACATGAGCCCTCAGTATCCCTTGGCACAATTCATAACACCCTCCTTGCTATACTTTCTTTACTTGGCTTCCAGGATGCCACACAATTCAAATTTTGCTCCTTGCCAGTGCCTGCTCTCCTCTGCTCCCTCATCCCTAATGCCATCCCTGAATTTAGCTTCTCTAATCTCATCACGCACCCTTCATTCACTCTCACTAACCACATAAGTTGGCTTCTTTGCTGTTCTTCAAACATATCGGTTTAGAAGCCCTTCTCATTACTCTTCTCTCTATGTTGATTTCTCTTCCCTTAGCTTCCTCAAGTTTTTGTACAAATGCCACATATACAATGACATTTTCCCTGATCACCCAATGTAGCATTGCAATGTCCACTACCCTCAAACTTCCCACATCCATTTATTTCCCTTCATGGCACTTACCAACTTCTAATAAACTATGAAATTTATTCTGTTTAAGTCTTCTCTTTGGCCTGAATATGGTCACCTTGTCATTCTAAAGTCATCTGATACCTTTGATTCCAGATACCTGTCATACAATAAACATTTAGTAAAATAAATCATTGTCAAATTAAAGAAGCTACAAACCTTGGCTCCTAGCATATGAGTTAAGACAACTATCACTATCAAAGACCATACATTGAAAAACTGAGTACCCCAATATTCACAAATCAATAAATGTGATACACCACATAAACAAAATGAAAGATAAAAGTCATATGGTTATATCAATAGATGCTGAAAAAACCATTTGACAAAATCCAGCACCCATTTCTGATAAAAACGCTCAGCAATCTGGGAATAGAGGGATCATATCTCAACATAATAAAGGCCATATATGAAAGACCTACAGCCAACATCATATTCAATGGGCAAAAACTAAAAGCATTTCCCTTAAGAACAGGAACAAGGCAAGGATGCCCACTTTCACCATTCTATTTAACATAGTACTAGAAGTCTTAGCCACAGCAATCAGACAGGAGGAAAAAATAAAAGGGATCCAAATGGGAAAGGAGGAAGTGAAACTGTCATTAGTCGCAGATGACATGATACTATACATAGAAAACCCCCAAAGACTCCATCAAAATTTTACTAGACTTAATAAATAAATTTGGCAAAATAGCAGGATACAAAATTAATGTCAAGAAATCAATGGCATTCGTATACATTAGTGATGAACTCACAGAAAAAGAAATTTTAAAAAAAATCTCATTTACCATGGCAGAAAAAAAATTAAGATACCTAGCAATAAATTTAACCAAATAAATAAAGGACCTATTCGCAGAAAACTACAGGTCATTGAAAAAAAAAAATAGAGGAAGATATAGAAAAGTGGAAGCACATACCTTGTTCATGGATCGGAAGAATCAACATCATTAAAATGTCCATACTACCCAAAGCATCTAAAGATTCAATGCAATCCCCATCAAAATACCAAGGACATACTTCACAGAACTAGAACAAATACTTCAAAAGTTCATATGGAACCAAAAAAGACTGCAATAGCCACAGAAATCTTAAAAAAGAACAAAGTAGGAGGGATCACATTACCAGATTTCAGGTTATACTACAAAGCCACTGTAATCAAAACAGCCTGGTACTGGCACAAGAACAGGCATATAGACTAGTGGAACAGAACAGAGAACCCAGAAATGGATCCAAGGCAATATGCTCAATTAATATTTGACAAAGGTGGCAAGAGCATACAGTGGAGTAAGGACAGCCTCTTTAATAAATGGTGTTGGGAAAATTGGACAGCTACATGCAAAAAAAAATGAAACTAGACCACCAACTTACACCATACACAAGAATAAACTCAAAATGGATAAAAGACTTAAATGTGACTTGTGAATCCATAAAAATCCTAGAAGAAAATGTGGCAACAAAATTTCAGACATAATATGCAGCAGAATTTTCACTAATACATCACCTAAGGCAACAGAAACAAAGGAGAAAATGAACACATGGTACTACATCAAACTCAAAAGCTTCTGTACAGCAAAAGATACAGTCATCAAAATGGAAAGGCAACCCACTGTATGGGAGAGCATAATTGCCAATCATATATTAGATAAGGGGATAATTTCCAATATATATAGAGTGCTCATATAACTCAACACAAGGAAGACAAAGATCCCAATTACAAAATGGCCAGAGAAATAAGTAGACACCTCTCCAAACAGGACATACAAAAGGCTAAGAGACATATGAAGAAATGCTCAACATCACTAACCATCAGAGAGATGCAAATTAAAACAACAATGAGGTGTCACCTCACACCTGTCAGAATGGCCGCCATCAACAAATCATCAAACAACAAGTGTTGGCGAGGGTGTGGAGAAAAGGGGACTCTAGTGCACTGCTGGTGGGAATGCAGACTGGTGCAACCACTATGAGAAACAATATGGTGTTACCTCTAAAAATTGAAAATTGAACTTCTATTTGACCCAGTAATGTCACTTCTAGGAATATAACCTAAGAAGCCTGAATCACTAATCAGAAAGAATATATGTACCCCCATGTTCATAGCAGCACTATTTACAATAGCTAAGATCTGGAAACCGCCCAAATATCCATCAGTAGACAAATGGATAGAAAAGCTGTGGTACATATACACAATGGAGTACTATGCAGCTGTAAGAAAGAAAGATCTCTTATCTTTTGAGACAACATGGAGGGAACTGGAAAGTATTATCCTAAGTGAAACAAGCCAAGCAGAGAAAGACAAGCATCACGTGATCTTACTTATTCGTGAAATATAATAAACATAACAGTCTGAGGAACGGGGTACTCCCAGAGACGTGGAAGTGGGGTACAGACTGCCAATCCCCTGAAGAGGGGGTGAGGGGAGAGATAAACCACACAGAACTTATATGCATGTATGTATGAATAATGGACATGGACAACAAAGGTGGGGACAGAATGGGGAGGGAGGGGGAGCGGGAAATCAGTGGGTGAAAAAGGTGAAATATCAGTAACAAAAATTAATTAATTAAGAAAATAAATAAATAAAAATAACCTGTACATATGATATAACCCAGTAATTTCAATCTTGGCTACTTATCTCAGAGAACTGAAAACCTGTGTTTATAATAAAACTTGTATGTGTATGTCAGGAAAAAAAACTGAGTACCCTACTCTGCCACATCTACTGTGAGGATGAAGACCATTCTCAGCAATCACACTGCTGACATCCCAGAAAATGTGGACACCACCCTGCAGGGATGCACAATTATTGAGAAGGGCCCCAGAGGCACCCTGTGGAGGGAATTCAACCACATGAATGTAGAACTCAGTCTCCCTGAAAACAAAAAGAAGAGACTCCTGATTGACAAATGGTGGGGAAACAGAAAGGAACTGGCCATGGTTTGTACCATCTGCAGTCATGTACAGAACATGATCAAGGGTATTACACTGGGCTTCAGTTACAAGATGCTGCCTGGATATGCTCACTTCCCCATCAATGTTGTTATTCAGGAGAATGGTTCCCTTGTTGAAATTAGAAATTTCTTGGGCAAAAAAAAAAAAAACATCTGCAGAGTTCAGATGAAGTCAGGTGTTGCTTATTCAGCATCACAAACACAGAAAGATGAATTGATTCATAAGGGAAACAACATTGAACTTGTATCAATTTCAGCTGCTTTGATTCAACAAGCCACAACAGTTAAAAACCAGGATATCAGAAAAATTTTGGATGGTATCTATGTTTCTGAAAAAGGAACAGTCTACCAGGCTGATGAATAAAATAGAAGTTGTCCAGCTACAGAAACAGCAAGATGTCGATATTTTAAAAGATGCAATAAAACCCTCATCCTGAACAAAGCAAAATAACAAACAAAAAAACTGAGGACCCCAAATAATGAGAAAAATATTCAATAATAAAATAAGTATACTAAGTTCCCAACAGATTGTTTAGAGTTGGTTTGGTCAACATACAGAATGATTTCCATAGCCATGTTGGGAAACACCAGTTTTGGAAAAGGATGCTACTCAAATAATTGAGTTAGGACCCTAGGTAACTCTTAATGGGCAGAGAAATTTACCCCATGACATGTAAGATCATATATTTACTGGCCCTTGAATTTTGTCATCCCCATAAGCAATTTGTTCCTAAATTCTTCTGGTCAAATAGATGTAGTCCTTTAACAGAAGCCCAGCTCAGAAATAATTATAAGACAACACAAGCAGCAGGACCATTTTATGCCAAACTAATGACTTCAGGACATGCAAGGAAAGATTCCTCTGTATAAATCCACTTCAGAGCAGGGGTCAAAACCATTAATGTTAAACTGGAGTCCTGAGTCCTAAGTACCCCATGACTCCAGAAGACTGGGATTTGTAAAAAAAAAAAAAAAAAAAATGTACTAAACACAGAGACATCTATAAACACTCTAAAAGATACTTTATACAAATGTCTTTTTGTCTGAAATCAAAACTTCAGGAAATAGAATTTTGAGTTCTCACTTTTAAATGAAAAATATCTTTAAAAAGACATTCAGGAGTTAATTTTAAAAGAAAAAAATCTCTCAGGATGAAGTATGAAGACATCGCTACTTGACTTTAATAAGTGTTCTCTTTAAAATCTTCATTATAAAGGCCTGGTCCTCTAAGACATTTTCTTAGAAATCCAAATTTAGCAACTTCTGGGAGCTTTGATGTTAGCATGAGGAGTAATCCACAACCCCACTCCCCAAAGAATTGTCCTTGTTAGGGGTTGAGATAGAGTTGAGTGACTTAACTATATGATGTCAATACAGTGCCACAGCAGAGGGGGTTAAGAGCCATGTTCACTGCGCTTTAATTTCAAATTTAAATTGAACATTTGTAATACAGAAACTTATGCTACACAGAAACTAGCTAGCTCTACACCAAACCTTTTAAGCTCTCTTTTGGCACACAACTATACCATATTACCCTGGTACCTTAGCAGGTAAGTGTCACTGAGCCCTCACCAATGGAATGAGAGCAGAAGAAATATATGCCACCCTCAGGCTTTAACCTATAAAAATATCTTCCCAGATAATGTCAACTTGATATAGACAGGTGTGGTAACCTTAGAAGACATATGTCAAAAGTGGGAGACCATAGATGGAAGAAGACCAGAAAGGAGCTATGAATTATTAAAAGAGAGTTGTCTTTTGAAAAGGAACCAATTTTAGACATTACACAGATGATCAAATAAGCTTTTATTAAGATTTTTATTTTGTTACAGTGATTCACATTACCTTAACAAACATCACATTTTAGTTCAGAGTGGAAGACAAAAACAATTAAATTACTTATAACTAATCCATTTAAAGTAAACAGCTATAAACTAAGCACTAATATTCATTGTTTCTAACATTCAAGTCAAACAGGTTTGTGACAGTTATAAATAAAATAAAAACAGTGTCTGCTTCTCAATATCTGTAGTTTTCAATAGGCTAACCATTTGAGATTTCTATAAATAAGATAAAAACAACGATAAATAGAAGTATATACCATGTTCATGGATAGGAAGAATTAATGTAATTAAAATGTCCATACTACCAAAAGCTCAAAATACCAATGGCATTTTTTACAGAACTAAAACTAAATAATTCTAAAATTTATTTGGAACCTCAAAAGACCCTGAATAACCAAATAAATCTTGAGAAGAAAGAATAAAATTTGAGATATCATTCTACCTGATATCAAACTATACTACAAGGCCATATAGTACACAAAACTGCATGGTACTGGCATGAAAACGGACACATAGATCAATGAAACAGAACAATAAAAGCCCAGAAATAAGCCCACACCTATATTTCTTTGTCAATTAATCCATTACAAAGAAGGCAAAAATATACAATGGGTTAAAGACAGTCTCTTCGATAAATGGTGTTAGGAAAACAAGACGGATACATGCAAAAGAATAAAACTTGATCATTTTCTTACACCATATATAAAAATAAACTAAAAACAAAGATTAAAGACTTAAATGTAAAACCCCAAAACAGAAAAGTCCTAGAAGAAAAGAGACGGTAAACTCTGGCATAGCTCTTAGTAATATTTTTTGGATATGTCTCCTCTAGCAAGTAAAACAAAAGAAAAAAATAAATAGCACTATGTCAAACTAAAGAGTTTTCCCACAATGAAAGAAACCATCAATAAAAGGAATAGACAACCTACTGACGGGGGAAGATATTCCCCAAGGATACAGCCAATAAGGTATTAATATCCAAAATAAGAAGGTAATACAATTTAACACCAAAAATACAAACAATACAATTAAACAATTGGCAGAGGATATAAATAGACATTACTCTGAAGAGGACATACAGATGGACAACATACATTTGAATGCTAAATATCACTAATCATCAGAGAAATGCAAATTAAAGTCACAATTAGATATCACCTCATACCTGTCAGAATAACTTTATCAATAAATCAAGAAACAAATGTTGGAGAGAAGAAAACCTTCCTACACTGTTAATGGGATTGCAGATTGATGCAAGCACTATGGAAAACACTATTGAGGTTTCTCAAATAATTAAAACTAGAACTATCATATGACCCAGTAATAATTCCATATCTGAGAATTTATCCAAAGATCCAAAACACTAATTTAAAAGATATGTGCACCCTATGTTCATTGCAATATTATTTCAATAGCCAAAATATGGAAGCAACCTAAGTGTCCATTTTTACATAAATGAATAAAAAAGATGTGGTAATATATGCAGTGGAATAGTACCCAGCCATAAGAAAGAATAAGATCTTGCCATTTGCAACAACATGGATAGACCTAAGGGTATTATGCTAAGTGAAATAAGTTAGACTGATAAAGAAAAATACCATATGACTTTACTTACATATGAAACCTAAAAATCAAAATAAACTAACAACAACAACAAAAAGAAAACAGGAAAAAACTCATAGATACAAGGAATAAATTGATGTTTTTCAGATGGAAGGGGGTTAAGGAAATGGGTGAAAAATGTAAAGGGACAAAGATGTAAAAATTGCAGTTATAAAAATAGGCATGGGGATGTAAAGTACAGCATAAGTTAAAATAGTCAATGATATAATAATTATGTGTGGTGTCAGATGGGTGCTGGACAATAAGGGTGATCACTTTATAAGTTTTATAAGTATCTAATCACTATATTGTACACTTAAAACTAATACATTGTATGTTGACTATAACTGAAATATTTAATTATAAAAGAACATATTCAAAATACAGAAAATATTTCACTAACATTTAGCTATACGTGAAGATAACCCTCAGAAATGAAGAAATTTAGAGTACAAAAATAAATAAGAATAATTAAGAATCAAGAAAGGCCTTCAATAATCTTAATATGATAAACATTTTATAAAATATATGTGTATCAAGTCATCACATTGTACACCTTAAATTTACAGTGTTATATGTCAATTATGTCTCAATAAAGCTATAAAAAGAAAAAGAAATGCCTTCAGTTAAAAAGTATATACACATACATATATATACAAATACATATAAAGCCATATATATATATATTCCTAGAATGGATATTTTTGAGATTAATATATGTCTTTGACATATTTCTACATAAAACATTTTTTTAAATCTATTATATTCTTGGTCATAAAACAAACTTAAAAATAATTATAAATGGGGCAAATTTATAGGTTACTTTCTCTAAATATAAGACAATATAGTTAACAATAAATAATGAAAAGGTGATCAAAAATGTGTACTAAGAAATGAAGAAACATATGCTACTAGAAAATCATTGGAGGTAATAAGGAGGAACACACTTTATACCAAAACTTATAGAATAAAAGAAAAGCTGTGCTCAAGGCAACTATATAGCTTCAAGTACCTTAATTTGTCTTAAAGGGCAGATAATACAGAAACTTGATGTTAATAAGTAAGATTAAAACAACAAAAATAAGCTGGGAAGATAGCATTCAAAAAATAAAACATAAAACTCATAAAATGAGAAACAACTTAATAGAAAAAAAATAAACACAAAAATTTATTCCTTGAAGAGATTACTAATATAAATAAAACCCCTGTGAGCCTGATAAAATAAAAAAGAAAAAGTACAAAGTAAACACAATTTAGGAATGAGAAAGGAAACATCATCAATGATTCAGGAGAATTAAAGAAAAATATAAAAATACCATATAAAATTCCAATAAAAGATCTGAAAACCTAGAGGAATCATTTATTTCTTAGAAAAAATACCTATTAAAAACCAATTGACTAAGAAGTGGACAATTTTAATAAATTAATTACTATATAATCCATAAGATGATCAAAAACCTACCATTAAAAAGACACCAGGACCACATGACTTCATAGCTGAGTTTTGCTTGGTCTTTTATTTAATTTTAATTATTTTATTTCTCAATTACAGTTGATATACAATATTATATTAGTGTTAGGTGTACACCCCAGTGATTAGACACTAAGTGATCATTCTGATAAATCTCGTACCAATCTGACACCATACATAGCTAATAGAATACAGTGGAATTTTAGTTCTCAAATTTAATTGGTTTCAGAAGACTGTTCAAGAAATGATTTGTTTGAAACCACCAAATCATTTATTTCCATTAGAAATAATGTAAATTGATTTAATCCATTCAGACCCCCAAATAATTCCCTGTTCTAACCTTTCTCAATTGCCTGTGATCATTGTTTCATGAGCACTTTCACACCCTTAGCAACATCAGTACACTTCATGGCCTCTTTGTATTTTAAAGTTGTGCTAATCATCAAT